GGTGCGTAGAGAAATGCGTTGGCGACATCGATTTGTCGCAGTTTCTTCTTCTTCATGGCGGCAGCGGCGAGAAGAATTCGAAGAGAGGTATGTCGACTAACTGGGGCGAATGTCTCGGTGAAGTCTCGTCCTTGCTCTTGGTTGAATCCACGCACGACCCAGCGTGCTTTGAACTTCTCGATTGTGCCGTCTGCTTTCGTTTTGATGCGGAAGACCCATTTCCCGGTGAGAATGGTTTTTTTCCTTGCCACGCTTGCGGGAACGACCTTCCAAGTGTTGTTTTCCTCCAGTGCCTTGAACTCTCTGTCCATGGCTTCGCGCCATTTCTCCCTGTGTTCCCCCCCCAGAGCCTGCTGAATCGTCGCAGGCTCCTTAGGAAGTGCGTAGCCGTGGACTGCGGTGACGAGGCCGAGGATTTGCAGTCCAGTCTGTGAGTATCGGGGGAGTGTTGGATCCTCGGGATAAGCTGCTTCGTCTCCCGCTTCTGGATCGGGTATGAAATTTGTCCCTATCCGTTCTGCTTCGTTTGTGTTGACTGTCGCAGGTGTTACGTAATCGTTGTCGGCGAAGTGATAGAAGACTTCGGCGTTGACACTGTCGCGAGGATTGTCTTCGTCCATGGGCACGTCGACGGAGCAGTACGGGAGAGGTCCGGTTTCTTCCGATGCGTTGTCGACGTTCTGTTCATCCCAGTCTGCTTTGTCCGCTGCTTAGGCGAAGGCTCGGTCACCACGAAAACCACCTGTGGGGTCCTGATTCTCGTGCAAGTTGGCGAGGTACGTTTGAAGGGTGAGTCGCTCGTAGAAGATCACATCACGTGCTGCTACTGTTTCCTTTGAGTGGACATCGAAAATTTTCCACGCGTTGTAATTTTTCTCGATGCCGAGGTGTAGTCCCCACTGTGCCCGTTGTGAAAATCTTCCCGCTCGTGCTTCTGGGGGTCGGTACTGCACCATGCATCCGAAAACTCGTAACATTCTTGTGATGCCCTGCTTTCCTGTCCACAGCAGATGCGGTGATGCGTTGTTCGGGAGTGACGACGACGACAGCAAGTTGTGCAGCATGACAACATGGTCCATTGCTGCAGACCACTGGTGGTTGGGTAGCCGCATGCCATGTAGCAGTTTGCGCATGCTGTTCTGCAGAGTCCTGTTCATTCTTTCTGCAACACCTTGCTGCGGATGGGCGTAGGGAAGGGAGAGGAGTTGCTTGATCCCCCTTTCCGCCAGGTACTGCTTGAAGCGCTGAGAGGTGTATTCTCCTCCTCCGTCTGACTGGAAGCTTTTCAGCTCTGTTCCTGACTCCCTCTTTGCTACCGGTAGCCAAGCGGCGAACGCTGCGAGTGCCATGTCGCGGCTGGGTAGGTTTCGATGCCAGACGTATCGAGTGGCGGCGTCGATGAAGGTTATCGTGTAATTGTAGGTGACTTGTCCTGGTTCTCGATTGAAGAGGATGTCGCTGTATACTTTCTCGAGTGGTGCGTATGCAGGTGCGCTCGGGTTGTGGTGAGAGGAAAACGGTCGATGGGGTAAGTCGGCTTCGGGGCAGATGAGGCAAGTTCCTCGTGCCCGTTGAAGTTCTCTGCCGTCGGGTAGTAGTAGCGAATCTTTGTCGAGGACTCCTGCTCGTATTGTGTTATTTTATACTGTGTTGCTTGGATGTCCTGTGCGTGCGTGCCAGATGTCTTCAGGAGCGCGATGTCCGGGTGAGCGTTGATACGCGTCGGAGTTGGAGTAGAAGCTGGCGACGACATTGGCGCTTCTGTTGACTTCTCGTTGAGTCGGGTTCAGTTGCTGTGCGGGTGTTAGTGGTGCTTCGTCGACGATGACTGGTGTCGTTGGTCCTGCTGCTGCCGATGATGTTTCTGCTGCTGTCGATGTTGTCTCTGCTACTGCCGTTTGTTGAATTGTTGCTAACGCTTGTGTTCGTTCTGCTTCAGGGATGGTGTGCGAGTACCAGAAACCTCCCGGGCTGAAGTCGGGATCGAGATCCGGGGGGTGTGTCCAATCGGCGAAGTTGACGATGGCGTCGCTATCTGCAGTGCCAAGGTCGGGGACGAAATCGAGGACGAAGACGTTGTTCTTCAAAACTGCTCTTCCGATGTAGAGGCCGCCCTTCCCGTGGTACAGTTTAAACTCCTCGGTGGTGCTGTCGGCTTCCAAGTGGATGCCTTTCGCCATCAGCTGGCTGACACTCAGTAAGTTATAACCGAGTCCTTCTGCGATGAGTACCTTTGACATGTGCAGTATGACGTTTGTTTCTCTTGATTGAAGCTGAACTACTCCTTGTCGTCGTGTGCGCAGGTTCTGGTTGTTGGCGACCGTGATGACTACTTCTCGCTGGAGTCGATGTTCGCGTTGAACGAAGCGTCCCGAGGAGCACATATGTTGTCCGCAGCAACTATCCAAGAACCAGGTGTCTTGCCCGGACGGTTCGCTTTGAGCGATGGCGGCGTACGTCGGATTCGGTTGGAGTGACTCGCGGCGAGGCGTCCTGTTGTCGAGCTCTTCTTCCGGTGAGTAGTGAGGTGGTGATTCGGTTGTGCACGAATCAGTTATCTTCACCATGCAATTGACAATGTTTCTTGCTCCTTGTGCAGATTGTCCTATTGGAGTCGTTGAAGCTTGGATTGAGGTCGTCGGATTTGCTTGTGTTGAGGCAACTTGGGAGCTTGAAGGCCGGAGTTGTCGCTGTGGTGTTGTCTGACGAGACGGGCAGTGCGTGCGAGGGTGTCCCGAAGTCTTGCAGATGTGGCAAAACGGAGGTACCGTCTTCACTTGTTGCTGTTGTCGATTGTTGTTGTTGTTGTATCATCGCTGAGTGTGAAACGCAAACTCCGGTGCTAATGTTTTCTTCTTGTGTCTTTCTTCTTGCAGGTCCATGTCCTGCTGCTCGGCATGAATTTCGGCGCAAAGTGCCGCTTCGGAAATCCTCCCGTGTGCTCGTAATATGGCGCGAGTGGAGCGCCAGTGGGTGTCAGAATCCCAACCACTAGACCATTGGGATAAAAGGGCTTGTTAAGTAGCGGGTCAGTGCGCCCATAACCCCCCAGGCAAACGCGCCTGTAACCCCCCCTAGGATCGATCGGGGATCTCACAGTGTAGCTCTACTGACACCCCCCCACACTGAGAGGCCCAGGACTGAGCACAGTGACAACAGCCAGCATGTGCATACACCGGGATTCGAACCCGAGACCGCTCTGATACCATGTCAAAATCCCAACCACTAGACCATTGGGATAAAAGGGCTTGTTAAGTAGCAAGTCAGTGCGCCCATAACCCCCCAGGCAAACGCGCGTGTAACCCCCCCTAGGATCGATCGGGGATCTCACAGTGTAGCTCTACTGACAGTGGGGGCCGAGACCGCCGATGACTACCGTGACAAAGGCGTCTTCTGAAATCGACCCTCCGCATCGAAGAAGCTTGTCGCGCAGTTCGCGGCAGCGGCTGATATAAGCCATGCCTTTCTCGCCTGGTTTCATTTCAATTGTTGTCAACTGCGCCATTAACCTGCTTTGATTTACGCTGTCTGTTGCTTGATACAGGTTCTTCAGGTGGTTGTACGCGAGCTCCGCGGAGTTGCCGTAGCCTCGGTAAGTCCTGATGTTCTGCTGCTGGGTCGGGGTGATGTTTCTTAGCAGTATCGTGTACGCCATCATCGATTGATAGGTGTACTGCTGCTTCTCATATTGTGTCCCGTTTGTCGGATATGGCAGGGACCCGTCGAAGAAGCCGAGAATCTGTGCTCCTTCCATCATCAGTTCGAACTCGAACGACCAGGTGAAGAAGTCTTTTCCGTCGAAAGGCTTTGTCGTTTGCAGCTTGAGAACATGCGCGAATTGCGATTGAACTTGTAATGCGTCCAATGCCCTTTCTTGTCCCGGTGCAGACTGCGGTTGCGGCATGAAGCTGACGGAGCCACGCTGGGGCTCGTACGGCGCAAAGGTAGGCTGCTGTTGTTGTTGTTGAATTCCGCGTGCGTAGGATGAGCCGTCGAGACTCATAGGAGTTACGTTGTTGTTGTTGCTGTTGTTTGACTGCGCAGGTACTCCTTGCTGGTGCTGCTCGTAGAAGGACATGAAGGAGAAGAATTTCTCCATCATGCTTGGATCGAAGCCTGCGGGCGTTTCCGTAGACCCAGCTGCTGGTCTCGTGGTAGTCCCTTCTTCCGTCTGCAGACCAGAGATAGGAGGTGGAGTAGGGGTAGTGCCTGGAGAACCGTTGGAGGAGCTCCTCTCCTTCCTAGTAGACATGTCTTCCTTGTATTAAGTATTAAGGGAAAAAGTAACTTTGAACTCTATCTGCTCTCATACCATGTTGGGCTGAGATGCCCTAGGATCTTTGTAGAGTTAGAGTCTGAGTAGGATTGTAATAGCGGAAGCGTTTGAATGAAAAGTCCTTGAACCACCTTGCGCTAGTATGTGAGGGCAAAGTAAGTTGATTAAAACAAGCAAATACACGGCTTTATATAAGAGTACAAGGAATACGAAAAGATATAATTAAACTGTTTTGCTGTTGCGATTCGATACAGTGCGACTCGGGCAACTGCTCAATGTCGAGTCAGTTATGTGTCCTTGCTGTCGCGCTGTATTTGTCAAGTCAAAGGTCGCTGACTTTTGACCTTCGCGTAACCTCCAGGCGGTTACCCTGACCTCCGAGGGTTGACTCGCGATGCTTCGATTTGGACTGCTTCGCTTGTGTCCTGAGTTTCGACACGACAGAGGCGCTTTAAGACTTATTGTTCCCAACACAGAAGAGCACACCATAATCGCAGTATATGGTTGGATTCTGAGCTGCCCGAGATTCTGGTTGGACCAGCTGCCACAGCACCATGCACCTACCCTGCCTTGGCCAGGCCATTTATCGCCTCCTTCTGTGCTGCTGCATCCTTCCCTGCTGCTGCCTCCTTCTGTGCTGCTGCCTCCAGAAGAAGACAGAGGTAGAATGCTGAGCTGCCCGAGATTCAGCTGTCTCAGTTTCAGCTGCCCCACTTCCATGCACCTACCCTGCCTTGGCCAGGCCATCTATCGCCTCCTTCTCTGCTGCTGCCTCCAGCGCCTCTATAAACGCCTCCAGGCCCTCCCCTTGGAGCACCTGTTGCGGGGGGGAGGGGGGGGAAGGGCGGAGGGAGAGGAAAAGGCGGAGGGACGAGGGGAAGAGGAATGTAAGGGAGAGAGGGAGGAAATGGGACAGCGACTTCTCTGCTGCTGCCTCCGGTGCCTTGGAAAACGCTTACAAGCCCTCCCCTAGCAGCACCTGGGGGGTCAAAGAGGGGCAGAGGGAGGTGGAGCAGAATCAAGGCAGGGGGGGTGAGGGGGTGCTGTCTCTGCTGCTGCCTCCAGTGCCTCGAAAAACGCTTACAAGCCCTCCCCTTGCAACACCTGTTGAGGAGGGGAGGGGGGAAGGGCGGAGGGACGAGGTGAAGAGGGAGGTGAGGAAGGGAGGGAGGGAGCGGGGGTGGAAGGCCCTTCTCTGCTGCTCTCTCCAGCGCCTTTCTATTAACGCCTCCAGACCCCTCGCCCTGTAGCCCTGTGGTGCTGTTTTGAGACGTCTCAAAACTCGCTGTGTGGCCCTGTGGTGCCAAACAGTAGAGTAGAGAACAGAGGAGGGAACAAAGGAACGACGAGGAGGGTCTTGGAGGTGTTTATTTCACTCTTGGTTCCACTGCGAGCAGAGAAAAGCAGGGTCTCCGTTGCTGGTGCTTCCAGTCCCCTCTGCGATCACCTCCGTGCCCTCAGTCTCCACTGCAACCTCTCGGACATTTTCCAGTGAGCAGCGGTTCCTACTTGCTCAAGCCTGAACCTAAGCACCACTGCTTATCGGAAAATGACTTTTGAGTCGACTCAAAAGTCACCTACTTGCTCAAGCCTGAACCTAAGCACCGCTGCTTATTGAAAAATGTCCGAGGATCTGCTTCCAATCCCCTCTGTGATCACCTCCATGCCCTCGGTCTCCACTGCAGCCTTTGCCGGCCTTTTTAAAGTATGAATATGAATACGAGCATGAGCATAAGCATGGGCATGGGCATGGGCATGGGCATGGGCATGGGCATGGGCATGAGCATGAGCATGAGCATGAGCATGAGCATGGGCATGGGCATGGGCATGGGCATGAGCATGGGCATGGGCATGGGCATGGGCATGGGCATGAGCATGGGCATGGGCATGAGCATGGGCATGGGCATGGGCATGAGCATGGGCATGAGCATGGGCATGAGCATGGGCATGAGCATGACCATGACATGAGCATAGACACACACTCACAGAATAAATACATGTACTAATACCAGGTGCCACAGACCCACACACTTGGAACTACTATTGGATGCAGCACTCACCTGTGGCAGCGAGTGCAGGGTGACCCCCATGCGGTGGTCCGTGATTCTGCCCTGCGGGAAGTTGTACGTGCGAATGCAGAGCTAGAGAGCTAGAAAGCTAGAGAGCTAGAAAGCTCAGTGCTCAGTGCACAGAGCACATCAAGCATGCATCGATATGACATGCCTACACCCGCTTGCGACCAATTCACACCTGCGGCAGCGAGTGCAGGGTGAGGCCCACGCGGTGGTCCGTGATTCGGCCCTGCGGGAAGTTGTACGTGCGGATTCGCTCCGAGCGATCGCCAGAGCCGATCTGGAAAAACAATGGGTCGACAGGAGGGAGCGAGGATGAGAGGAAGGGAGCGAGGATGAGAGGGAGGGAGCGAGGATGAGAGGGAGGGAGGGAGGATGAGAGAGAGGAATGAAGGATCACGAAAGAAGGGTGAAACCCAGACCCAGACAAGATGATTTGACTTGCCAGAACAGATCTGGATCTACGACACAGAATACATGCCCATCACCCCCACTTGCCCACCCCCCACTTGCCCACCCCCCACTTGCCCACCCCCCACTTGCCCACCCCCCACTTGCCCACCCCCCACTTGCCCACCCCTCACCTGCCCACCCCTCACCTGCCCATGTCTGAGCTGAGACCGCGACGCCTCGGCCTGCTTCCTCTGCAGGTCGAACAGCCGTGCTCGCAGCACCTTGAGCGCCTTGGCCTTGTTCTGCGGAGTAAAGAAGTTTTGGGGGCGAGGGCAGGCGCCAAGGAGGGGAGCCGCGGGGATAATGAGAGGGACAGAGGTAAAGGCTTTAGTCAAACTCAATTGTGCGGAGTTTTCTGAAGAAGAGATGGGGGATAAGGAATGGGACAGAAGGGTCGATTTTCAGCGAACTCAAAAATCAGTTCAATTGTGCGGGGCTTTTCTGAGGAAGAGATGGGGGATAGGGAATGGGACAGAAGGAACAATGGCCCTTCGAGAGGGTCAGAAGCGTGGGAGCAAGTGCTCCTCTCATCCCCTCTCCTCTTTGCTCCTCCTCTCATCCCCTCTCCTCTTTGCTCCTCCTCTCATCCCCTCTCCTCTTTGCTCCTCCTCTCATCCCCTCTCCTCTTTGCTCCTCCTCTCATCTCCTCCCCTAGCACTACTTTCTTCACTTCACCTGCTGCTGTCTTGCCCAGCTGGTGATACCTCTCCCAACCTCTCCCAACCTCTCCCAACCTCCCCCACCTCTCCCCACCTCTCCACTCTTCTCTTCACCTCACCATGTGCTGAGAGCGTTCGTCCTGTATAGCCACGACAAGCCCCGAGGGCAAGTGGGTGATGCGCACGGCACTGTTGGTCGTGTTCACCGACTGCCCTCCACACCCGCCGCTGCGGTACGTGTCGATACGCAGATCCTCCTGGCGGATTAGCACGTCCACCTGCACAGAAGAGCCCACATGAATGCATGCACACACCAATATAACCGTGTTAGAAAAGCCTCAAGGATGTTCACCGACTGCCCTCCACACCCGCCGCTGCGGTACGTGTCAATGCGCAGATCCTCCTGCCGGATCGACACATCCACCTGTATCGGGGGAAAATTGCACGTACGCACGCATGCACAAAGACAACCAGGATTAGAATGCCTCTATCACGGTTCACCGACTGCCCTCCACCCACACCCGCCGCTGCGGTACGTGTCGATACGCAGATCCTCCTGGCGGATTAGCACGTCCACCTGCACAGAAGAGCCCACATGAATGCATGCACACACCAATATAACCGTGTTAGAAAAGCCTCAAGGATGGTTCACCGACTGCCCTCCACACCCGCCGCTGCGGTACGTGTCAATGCGCAGATCCTCCTGCCGGATCGACACATCCACCTGTATCGGGGGAAAATTGCACGTACGCACGCATGCACAAAGACAACCAGGATTAGAATGCCTCTATCACGGTTCACCGACTGCCCTCCACCCACACCCGCCGATGCGATACGTGTCGATACGCAGATCCTCCTGGCGGATTAGCACTTCCTCCTGCAAGGGGCAGCACACACGTGCGCACGGACCAATACAGCTCGGCTTTGAGACATCTCAACCAAAGTTGCCCTCTCTCCACATCCGCCACTGCAATACACGTCGATGCGCTGCGCAGATCATCCTGCCGGATTAGCACATCCGCCTGTAGGGGAAGAAAGCGCATGCATGCATGCATGGACTGATAAAGCTGGGTTTCACATCCTCTAAGGGCGGTTCACCGACTGCTCTCCACATCCCCCACTGTGATACACGTCGATGCGCAGATCATCCTGCCGGATTAGCAATTCAGCTCCTCCACCTGCACAACAAAACCCCACAAGCATGCTCGTGTGCACCCTGCCTGCCTTCTCTGTGGCCTGGCCGGTACCCTCTGCACCCTGTATGCCACCACTCTCCCACTGAGGCTCCCAAACACGCCCACCCGCTCTGCACCGCACCAGTTCTGTACCCCTCTGCACCACTCACCTCGTCGGCTTGGGGCAGCACAGCCACAGTAGCAGCACTGGTGTGCACCCTGCCTGCCTTCTCTGTGGCTGGTACCCTCTGCACCCTGTGCTCCCTGTGCACCCTCTGCACCCCTCTACACCGTTCCGCAATGCTCACCTCGTCAGCTTGGGGCAGCACAGCCACGGTAGCAGCACTCGTGTGCACCCTGCCCGATTTCTCAGTGGCCGGTACTCGCTGCACCCTGTGCACGCCACTTTCCCACTTGAGGCTCCCAAACACCCCTTCCCCTGACACACTCGCACTCGCTTCCTGTGGGAGGCAAGACACGGGAGGGGGAAAGGGTCGTGGGGGGTGGCGATGGGAGATGGGAGGGAGGAAGCAGTGGGGTGAGGAGATGAGAAATGGTGATGAAGGGGAGCAGTAGAGCAGTCTCATGGTGAGCAGTCTCATGCTGATGCCCCGTGAACATGAGACTGCTCGTATGCACTCTGCTCCCCTGCCCGCCTTCTCTGTTGTCGTCAGTACCCTCAACACCCTGTGAACGCCACTCTCCCACTTGAGCCACCCGAGCACCCCGTCCCCTGACACACTCGCACTCGCTTCCTGTGGGAGGCAAGACACAGGAGGGGGAAGGGTTGGAGCAGTGGGGCGATGAGTCCCCCGACGAAACGCTGGGTGACCATGATTCGATTGATGGGAGATACATGAGAGAGGAGGTGAGGGGAAAGAGTCGAGGAGTGGGGGGAGAGGAGAGTGGGGATGGTGGAGGAGAGAGGGGAAGGGCCGATGAGTAGGAAGCACCACGGGTCATTGGTACAGCTTTTAGTGGCAGAAACATCTCCTTGGCCTCTCCCTTGATAGAAACCCCCTCTTTCTGATTTCCTCTCTCCCTTGTTCCTACCCTTCTCACTCCATCGCACCCAATACCCACCCTTCTCCCAGCTTGCCTCCCTATGACGCACCTACTATCACCCCAACTCGCATCTACCATCACCCCAACTCGCACCTACTATCACCCCAACTCGCACCTACTATCACCCCAGCCCTCACCTTGTATCCGCCCTTCTCAATCTCTGTGACGTCTAGAACCTCAAACTGCCACCCCCGCTTAGCGCAGAAGCGCTGGTACCTGCCATGAAAACCATGCCACAAAACGTCCCACCGCATTGCACCCCCCCACACCAAATTGCAACCACCACCATCACATCCCATCCCATCCCATCACATTCACAGTCAGACCCGATACAGCAGATCAAAACAGTTGGCTCTAAACCCGATACAGCATATTGCGTCACCACAGGCTCTGTCGGTTCTAAAATCAAGATTCAAAGATTCGGGCCGGCGGCACTACCAACCAACGTCCAATCAATGTTCACCATCATACTCATCAAATTAGCGCATGCCATCAATATCAAATCATATCTACCCCTCATCACAAACGCTTGCTCACATGTGGAACACGTCAGCACATGCCATCATGATAGAATCAAATCATATCTACCCTCATCATGATCCAGCGACCAGCGACCAGCTCACTTACATTTGGAACACGTCAGCTGCAAACAGGGCTGCCTCGTCGCCTCCTGTGCCTGCACACACATGGGTTGAGTGGCGATGAATGGGGGAGGGAGGGCGAGAGGAGGAGAGGGGAGGAGGGGCAGGTATTGAGTCGACGCAAATAGGGCTGCCTCGTCACCTCCTGTGCTTGCACACACGCATGGGTTGAGTGGCGATGAATGGGGGGATAGGGGGGTGAGAAGGGGAGGGGCGAGTTTTGAGTTGTCTCAAATAGGGCTGCCTCGTCGCCTCCTGTGCTTGCACAAACGCATGGGTTGAGTGGCGATGAATGGGCGGATAGGGGGGCGAGAAGGGGAGGGGCGGGTTTTGAGTCGTCTCAAATAGGGCTGCCTCGTCGCCTCCTGTGCTTGCACACACGCATGGGTTGAGTGGCGATGAATGGGGGGGAAAAGGGGCGAGAAGGCGAAGGGGAGGAGGGAGAGTTGGGGGGAGGGGAAGCTCGGAACCCTAAACGACCAGGAGCATGTCAGAGGTGGTGCAAGGGGAGAATCAATCAAGAACCCTAAACGAACGGATACGAAATGGCAACGGGTGGTGCGAGTACAACGAACAACCACGAGCAAGTCGGAGGTGGGGTCTCTCATGTGTCGTGTCTCTCATGTGTCGTGTCTCTCATGTGTCGTGTCTCTCATGTGTCGTGTCTCTCATGTGTCGTGTCTCTCATGTGTCGTGTCTCTCATGTGTCGTGTCTCTCATGTGTCGTGTCTCTCATGTGTCGTGTCTCTCATGTGTCGTGTCTCTCATGTGTCGTGTCTCTCATGTGTCGTGCCTCTCATGTGTCGTGTCTCTCATGTGTCGTGTCTCTCATGTGTCGTGTCTCTCATGTGTCGTGTCTCTCATGTGTCGTGTCTCTCATGTGTCGTGTCTCTCATGTGTCGTGTCTCTCATGTGTCGTGTCTCTCATGTGTCGTGCCTCTCATGTGTCGTGCCTCTCATGTGTCGTGTCTCTCATGTGTCGTGTCTCTCATGTGTCGTGTCTCTCATGTGTCGTGTCTCTCATGTGTCGTGTCTCTCATGTGTCGTGTCTCTCATGTGTCGTGTCTCTCATGTGTCGTGCCTCTCATGTGTCGTGTCTCTCATGTGTCGTGTCTCTCATGTGTCGTGTCTCTCATGTGTCGTGTCTCTCATGTGTCGTGTCTCTCATGTGTCGTGTCTCTCATGTGTCGTGTCTCTCATGTGTCGTGTCTCTCATGTGTCGTGTCTCTCATGTGTCGTGTCTCTCATGTGTCGTGTCTCTCATGTGTCGTGTCTCTCATGTGTCGTGTCTCTCATGTGTCGTGTCTCTCATGTGTCGTGTCTCTCATGTGTCGTGTCTCTCATGTGTCGTGTCTCTCATGTGTCGTGCCTCTCATGTGTCGTGCCTCTCATGTGTTGTGCCTCTCATGTATGGTGTCTCTGAATTAATCGATATCATCCCATCCGCGTCTCATCTCACCTCACCTGCCCTGACTTCCACAATGCATCCTCTGCTGTCTGCCTCATCCTTTCTCAGTATCCGCCTCATCCTTTGTTAGTATCCGCCTCATCCTTTGTCAGTATCCGCCTCATCCTTTGTCAGTATCCGCCTCATCCTTTGTCAGTATCCGCCTCATCCTTTGTCAGTATTCGCCTCATCCTTTGTCAGTATCCGCCTCATCCTTTGTCAGTATCCGCCTCATCCTTTGTCAGTATCCGCCTCATCCTTTGTCAGTATCCGCCTCATCCTTTGTCAGTATCCGCCTCATCCTTTGTCAGTATCCGCCTCATCCTTTGTCAGTATCCGCCTCATCCTTTGTCAGTATCCGCCTCATCCTTTGTCAGTATCCGCCTCATCCTTTGTCAGTATCCGCCTCATCCTTTGTCAGTATCCGCCTCATCCTTTGTCAGTATCCGCCTCATCCTTTGTCAGTATCCGCCTCATCCTTTGTCAGTATCCGCCTCATCCTTTGTCAGTATCTGCCTCACTGCATTTCGCAGCAGAGCCTCCTCGCTCTCCCCGCCCACCCCCTAGAGCTTGGCGTAGCTAGCAGCAATCAACAACCAGCAATCACAATCCGTGTCCCACCTCACCTGCTCGCACCTCCACAATGTATCCTCTTTGGTCCGCCTCGTCCCTTGGTAATATCCGCCTCACTGCACTCCACTCCACAGCAGTGCTTCCCTCCTTCTTCCCCTCCATTAGAGCTTGGCGTCGCTCGCACCAACCAGCAAACATCATTCGCATCTCACCTCACTCACCTGCTCGCACCTCCACAATGCATCCTCTTTGGTCCGCCTCGTCCCTAGGTAATATCCGCCTCACTGCACTCCGCAGCAGTGCCTCCCTCTCCCCTCCCACCACCCCGATCTCCTCCCACACCATCGCTCTCAACTCCTCGTCCTCCTCATCCGCCTCCCTGCCTCCTTCTCTCTTCCCTCCCTTTGTGTCATTGTCCTCGTTATAAGGCTGTCCTTGTCCCTTTAGTAGCGCGTGCAAGTCTTGTAACTCCTGAGGGTTGAGGGAGGTGCGTGGGTGCAAAAGAGGATGATTGATAAAGGAGGAAAGGACTCTCCGCAGCAGTGCCTCCCTCCCTCTCCCCCCCCCAACACCCCAATCTCCTCCCACACCATTGCTCTCAAACTCCTCTTCCTCCTCATCCGCCTCCCTGTCACTTCCCTTTTTCCCTGAATTAACGTCCTTGTCCTCGTTACAAGGCCGTCTTTGTCCCTTGAGTAGCGCGTGCAAGTCGTCTAGCTCCTGAGGGTTCAGAAAGAGGTGTGAAACGGGTTTTGAGCCGACTGAATAATCATCTCTGTCCTCGTTATAAGGTTGTCTATGACCCTTACGTAGTGCGTGCAAGTCGCATTCCTGAGGGTCGAGAAATAGGTGCGAGATGGGTGTGAGAGAGGAGGGTTTATGAAAGATGAAAGGGGAGGGATGGAAGGTGAAGGAAATATGGAGGGGCACCACGATCACAATATTTCTACATACACCGGTGTCATCTCCCGTTGTTTATATTGAAACACCACAGCTGACTATATGAGCGCAATCCAATACGCACAACGCATTGTACCCCTACTGCTTGTTGGGCGGAGCGGAATCAGAACTTGCCCACTAGCTGCACTGCATTCCCATGAGCCTACCTTTGTCTTTTTCTGCAGCTCCAGTGCGATTGCGACAGCTGGCGCCAGATCGCTCATCTCCTTGCCTGCTCTCGCCAGGTCGTCTGCTGACGTGTCAGGCTGGGGTGGCAGGGAAAACAGGCAGGAAAAGTGACCCATGCGGGAAAGAGGAACAATTATCACGCGTTGAACCGTATTGAACTGCACTGAACAACCGGTACCTCGCCAACGAGCCTAGCTTCTTCTGAGCTGGCGCAAAAGGCATGAAAAGGGAACATTGTTCCTAAGAGAAACAAGCAAATGCAGTGCAGCGCACCAAACAGCAGCAGCCTTTATCAACCCTAACCTGCAGCTGCACCCTAAACCTTAAACCCTGGGCAAGCATCTCACACGGTGCAGCACCCAGCACAATGAGCAATAATGCCTCACCTAGGAGACCAGCTAAGAGAGCAACTCCACCTGCTGGTAGGTGCAAGGCAAGACACCAGATGGCACCTCTCACTCCCTTCAACAAGGTCACGTCACAGACAGATGGCACCTCCCCCAAATTAGTGTAAGAAAGAAGTGCCTCACCTGAAAAATCGCCTTAACTGAGAAATCGCTTAACTTGAAATCGCCTCACCTGAGAAATCGCCTTATCTAAGAAATCGGCTCACCTGAGAAATCACCTTATTTAAGAAATCGGCTCACCTGGGAGAGCAGCTGACCTGGGAGAGCAGCTGACCTGGGAGAGCAGCTCCTCCAGGTGCTGGTGGCGGGCCAAGACGGCACAGAGGCTCCTCTCCACCACAGCTGCTAGCTCGGCCGGCATCACAGGTGGTGGTGGTGAGGAGGACGCTGAAAACAACACACCTAAGAATAGCACGAGAACGGCAGATCTGACCTGGGAGAGCAGCTGACCTGGGAGAGCAGCTCCTCCAGGTGCTGGTGGCGGGCCAAGACGGCACAGAGGCTTTTCTCCACCACAGCTGCTAGCTCGGCCGGCATTACTGGTGGTGGTGGTGGTGGTGTGGAGGACGCTGAAAACAGCAACCGGAAGAGGGAGGAGGAGAGGAAACAGTAAGTACATCAACGCTTGGAGGGTTGAAATGGGAAGAATGCATTGTGAGTGACTCCAGGTGACTTCGAGTAGGCGAAGCGCAGACTAGAACACGGTATGGCCCACCATGGGTAGAGAAACTCGTAGACAGCAGGAATGGCCGACTCGGCTTCAACGGCTCTCGCAGACTCAACAGCAGCTCAGCTCCCGTTCTTGCTGGCCCTCGCAGCCATTGGCCGGCCCTGCCAGGATGGAGAGTCTCATCTGACCGTTGGTGTACTAAGGAAACGCTGACAGCCGTCGATCTGGAGCACGCTCCGTGCGACCATGGTAAGGCGGACGGAGTGCGGGTTTCGGAAGTCTGGGTGAGCGTGAATTGCGACGGCGAGACGTAATTGTGAATTGGCTCTGGCGAAAGCGATGATGCGAGTGTCGAGGTCTGGTTACTCGCGAATGCCGCAGTCCCGGTGCGGTTCGCGAAGAACGGTGAGACAGTTTCGTGACTTGGCTCTGGAGGAGACGCGACTGATGACGGCTGTAAGGAGGGGTGCAATGACGATGCGAGGGCGATCGCGGCGTCGGATGACGACACGTGGCCGTTATGCTGCTGTAGACGGCGGAGATGCGCGGAGAGGAGGGAGAGAGACTGGCGTCGCCTCATGGAGGAAAGAGGCGAAGCGATCGCAGCGAGTGATGCTGTTGCGTACGGATCAGGGAATTCGGCTAAAAAATTGAGCGAGTTATAAGGAGACGCGGTAGTGCAGCCTGGTCCCGATCATTCAAACGCATGTGGCTGGACTGCCTTGCTCTGGGAGTTCAAAATGCAAGGTCCGAAATTCCTGAGGGAGGAGATGACGAATGGAGGGAGCAGTGAAAGTTGAGAAGTCGGAGTCGGGAATGGTTCCTAGGGTTGCCGCAAGGTTGGAAGATGCGAATTTGAAGCCTGAAATACAGTGATCTGAAGCCTGCAAGCTATAGGCGAATCTTGGCGAATAAAACATCGCATCGCGTCTCCAGTATTTCCGATTTCGCAAAGAATGCCCACTCTTCGCTTCATCGCCCAAGCAGCTACTGAAAGCTGCGAGCCTGTCAGTTTTTCAGAATCTAGATTCTATAATTTCTTCTAGCATGCGATTCCTGTCTGTCTGTGGTGACAGATGAGTCCCTCAACAGCAGTACCTCGCTGACCGTACGATTTATCCTGAAATGCTCATTCCGTGCGCCGCGTTGCCGCACATGCCGCCTAGCAAGTTTGGCCGAAGCGTCGCGCTCGCTACAATTTCACCTAGCCAGGCTGGCTGATTATTTACCATTGTCCGTCGTCGCACGTATTAAGCCTTCCACTCAAGACTTCCACTTCGTCGGGCGAGCGCCGTCGTCAGCGATGGGCTCGAAGCACCAATTAACAGAGCCGGCTGAGGAGACTTTTGAGTCGTCAGCGAAGCACCAATCCACCGTGCCGACCGTTGGGCCGCCGAAAAGCCTCTTCCTCGCGCTTCTCGCGTTCAGGTCAGCAGAATCGGCAGCTTCGACGAAGCAATTTCATCGTGGATTCCCCAATGCAGTCACGTTCAAGTTAAAATGCCGGAAAAGATTGCACAACATCTTTCCACCTTCTCTCTTCCCCCTCTCCCCCACTCCCCCACCCCCTCACCTTTCCTCTGCCTTCCTGGCTGCAGGTTACTCAACAGTCTCGCAGTGCAGACCTATTTCAACCCGGACGAGTTCTGGCAGGGACCGGAGGTGGCTCACCGGATGGTGTTCGGGTGAGATGCAGTTTCTCTAGTAGGTGCATCAGGGCGACTAGTGATGTGTGGGTTGACGCTGCGACTTGGTTTCAACCCGGACGAGTTCTGGCAGAAACCGGAGGTGGCTCACCAGATGGTGTTCGGGTGAGATGCAATGGGTGAATCCTGATTCACTGCCAGGTCGATGCTGTGATCGAGGGAAGAAGGTGTATTGGGTATTTAACTCACATCAACCTAGCGTTTGGGTGAAGGAGTTATCCAGGAATCATTGCACTTATAAGAGCAAAAGTGCTTCGAATGGCATGCTTGTTGTCAGTAAGGTGTTTTACTGTTCAAGAAATTATATCGTTTACTGTTGCAGTGTCTAAGGAAGGAGGCATTTCGTCTATTACCCCAGTGTGTCATCAGGCAGAGGGATGTCCCTGGTTGCTCCCGTCATTCTCGCTTCCTCTCTTCCATTCCTCAACAGCCTCGCTTCCCCCAACCTCTCCTGCCACCACCTGCATACGTCTACTGATCTGCCATGAAAGTGGGCCTGGAAGTTCTTTCGAGCGCCAAGTGAACGCCTAAAGTGTTTCAACGTGCCTGAAGGCTGGAAACGCCCCTTCCTCCTCTCCAATGCGCCCTTCTATTCTCCTTCCCATCCCATCTTCTGCATTAACGCCCTTCCTCCTCTCCTTTACGCCCCTCCTATTCCCTTCGCGCCGCTCCCATGCCTCTCTCTCTCCTTTCAGCTACGGCTATCTCACGTGGGAGTGGCAGCCTGAGTGGGCAGCTCGCTCCTTCCTCCACCCGCTGCTCTTCGCTGCTGGTTACCGCCTGCTCGCCCTCTTACGCTGCGACACGCCCTGGCTCGTTGTGAGTGTTGTTATGGTTCAAGCCACGGGAAGCAAGCACTGTACTGAGCTTCGCTCTTCACCGCTGGTTACCGCCTGCTCGCCCTCTTATGCTGCGACACACCCTGGCTGGTTGTGAGTGTTGATTCTATCTGGGCGCTTACGGTGAAACACATAGCGCTACACACTCAGCGTCTCTCTCCGCTGTTGCTTACTGACTACTGGCTGCCACCTGTGCAACACTCCCTCCCTGGCTCGCAGGCAACCACGTGTAGCGAGGTTGTTTTTGAAACGTCTCAAAAACAACCTCGCTACACGTCGCGGTTGCTTACTGACTACTGGCTGCCACCTGTGCTGTGCAACACTCCCTCCCTTACTCACAGGCAACCCATGTGTTCTCGCTTCACTCTTGCTCCCTAGTTGTGTTCTCTCTCTCTTCTCCATATCCACTTGTTCTCCTTTCTTCCCTGACTCCTTTCCCTCACCCCTCTCCACTCCCCATCTCCGTGTCCCATCCCATCACCTCTCTCTCCTCTCCCCTTCCAGCGCCACTCGCCGCGGTTCATGCAGGCAGCCATGGCAACACTGGCGGATGTGCGTCTCTATGCGCTCACTCACAGGTTGTTCCCCTTTGCTCCTCGCGTTTCTCCTCTCCCCCTCCAGCGCCACTCGCCGCGATTCATGCAGGCAGCCATGGCAGCACTGGCGGATCTGCGTCTCTACGCCCTCACTCGAAGGCTCTTCCCTTCGCACCCCTCCGCTGCTGCATGGGCGGTGAGTTGAGGCCTGAGAGGTCATCTCATCTCATCATAACGCCACTCCTCGAGGTGCAACAATGTAGGCCGCCATAGCTAGCAGCACTGGGGGATCTGCGTCATTACACGCTCACTCACTGGCTCTTTTCCGTCCACCTCTCTGCCACTGCATGCGTGGTGAGCTGAAGCCTCAAGCTGTGCTGCTGGTTCCTCCTCTGCATCCCTAAGCCCACCTCCTCCATTCAATGCTCTCTTTCCCCACATGCACCCCTCTGCCGCTGCATGCGCGGTGAGTTGAAACCTGCAAGCTATGCGTCTGCTTCCTCCTCCTCAGCCCCACCCCACCTTCTCCATTACATGCGCCCCTTTTTCTCCACCCCTCCCCCGCTCCCTCCCTCTCTCGCCTGCAACCTGAACTGCTGGTTCCTCCTCTTCTGCACCACGCGCACCTATTTTCGAGGTGCCTAAAAGATACGCTGGCTTCTCCTCTTCTGCGCCTCACGCACCTTCTCCATCCAATACTCCCTTTCTCCAGCAGTAGCAGCAGCAAAACCATTTCCCCCGACATTTCAGTGGACAAGATCTTTGTCGTTCTCGCCCTACAGTGCCAAACGACGCCGGTCATGTGAGAGCTACCAAGTGGAAACTCGTTGCTGGCATCCACAACGACCACCTGCACTGGAACAACAAGGGCAGTCGTACATGTTGAGGCGTGGGGGTTGCAGGGCGGGATTGAGTGGGTTGAGGGAGTGGAGAAGGTCTACTTTCCCACCCACCCATTCTCCTGCCTGCAACGTCTTCTCCATGTTGACTTGGAGTACAAGTCCACTGAATCCCGCCCTACAACCAACCCCCACATCTCCATACGTACGACTGCCTTGTTGTTCCAGTGCAGGTGATTGTTTGGAGAATAGATGCGATGCGAGTGACGTGTTTCCGCTTGGTAGACTTGCTTGTTCCCATGACCGGCGTCGCTGGGCCCCCAGGAGCTCTCAGGCGAGAACGATTGGGATCATGTCTGCTGAACTGAAGTGATTGGGATCATGTCTGCTGAAGTGAAGTGATTGGGATCATGTCTGCTGAAGTGAAGTGATTGGGATCATGTCTGCTGAACTGAAGTGATTGGGAGGGGGGGATATTGCTGCTGCTTTGCACCCCCTCTCTCCTGCTCTTCTTGTCCCTCTGCCCCCCTACAGCTCCTTTGCAAATTTAGCCTGCCAGTTCCTCTTCTTTTTGTGCCACACACACCTTCTCCAACCGACGGCTCCAGTTTACCACATTTGCCCCTTACCTCGCCCCCTCTCCCCTTTGACTTTTGAGTCGACTCAAAGGGCTCCAGCTTACCACATTTGCCCCTTACCTCGCCCCCTCTCCCCTTTGTTTTCCTCCACAAGTCGCCTGCAACCCGGTTCCTCTTCTTCTGATCCATGCGCACCTTCTCCAAGTTCCAACTGATGCTTTCTTTTCCCACATGCACCCCTCACCCCTTCTCACCCGTCCACCCCTCTCGATTGAAGAAGGGTTTTGAGATGTCTCAAAACCCTTCTTCAATCACGATGCTCTCTTTCCCCTTCCCACATGCACCCCTCACCCCTTCTCACCCGTCCACCCCTCTCGTCTGTCCTCTCCCCCCCCCGTCAGCTCGCCTGCAACCTGGCCTGCTGGTTCCTCCTCTTCTGATCCACACGCACCTTCTCCAACTGATGCTTTCTTTTCCCACATGCACCCCCACCCCTTCTCACCCTCCTCCCCTCGCCCCTCTCCTCGTCCCCCCGTCAGCTCGCCTGCAATCTCACGTGCTGGATCCTCGTTTTCTGTGCAACACGCACCTTCTCCAACTAATTCTCTCTCTTTCCCCTCCCCTGCTTGCCCCCCCCCCCCCCAGCTTCTCTGCAATCTCACCTGCTGGTCCCTCTTCTTCTGCGCAACACGCACCTTCTCCAACTCCCTCGAGGCCTCCCTCGCTGTCATCGCCCTCTCCTACTGGCCCTGGCGCCACTGCCAGGGGGACACTGAGGGCGCGCAGGACACGGGTGAGGGGACACAGGGGCGCACTGAGGCCGCCAAAGGGAGAGGTGCTGAGCAAGGGAGAGGAGGAGGGCAATTGTCTGCAACCGCTCAGGTCTCTGATCTTAGGGGAGCCAACCGCCCACTGGCCCTCGCCTTGGCAGCAGCAGCGTGCATGGTTCGCCCCACCAGCACTCCCTTCTGGCTGCCCCTGGGTCTGCACGAGCTTGCTCTGCTGCTGCTGGAGGGGACGTTGAAGGGAGGGAGTGACAGCAGCAGGGGCAGATGGGAGTGGGTGCGGCTGCTGCTCCTAGAAGTGCTGCCTATCGGGTGAGCGCTGGTGAATAATCTGTGTGAGTATGGTTGCCTAGAGGGGTTCGTCCCACCAGCACGCCCCACCAGCACGCCCTATCGGGTGAGACTTGGTAAATTCTTGCTCCTGTCAAGTGAAATCGCTGCTGCTGGTCCCTCTTCTTCTGCGCAACACGCACCTTCTCCAGAGCTCTCGCTGCTGCTGCTGCTGGAAGGGGCGCTGAAGGGCAGCAGCAGGGGCAGATGGGAGTGGGTGCGGTTGCTGGGGCTAGAAGTGCTGCCTATCGGGTAAGGATGCCCCTGTGACTGTGCCGCTCCGGGTCTGTGTCAAGTGTCTGTAATCGAGTCTTGAGATGTCTCAAAACTCGCTCTGGGTCTCTGTCCAGTGTCTGTGATTCGCCTCTCCTGCACGCCCTTCTTGACTTTTGAGTCGACTCAAAAGTCAACTTTGTGGATGCTTTTCCCCTGTGACTGTGCCGCTCTGGGTCTCTCTCAAGTGTCTGTGACTGTGCCGCTCTGGGTCTCTCTCAAGTGTCTGTGACTGTGCCGCTCTGGGTCTCTCTCAAGTGTCTGTGATTTGCCGTGTATGTGAGAACTCTAAAAATACTTACACTTTTCCCCTGTGACTGTGCCGCTCTGGGTCTCTGTCAAGTGTCTGTGATTCGGCTCTCCTGCACGCCCTTCTGGTTGCCTCTGGCTCTGCACAAGCTCGCGCTGCTGCTGCTGGAAGGGCCGCTCAAGGGAGAGGAAATCAGCAGGGGCAGGGGCAGGTGGGAGTGGGTGCTGCTGTTAGGGCTAGAAGTGCTGCCTATCGGGTGAGCCATGCTCCTTTGAAAGTGTGTAACGCCCCTTGCGAGTGCCAACTCAACCCATCCCCGCCCAACTCCCCCCAATCCCCTGCACAACCGCATCCCCCCCACAACGCCGCTTCCCTCTCTCCCTCACTTCCGGGTCCCTATCGCCAGCCTGATAGCTGTCGCGATCACAGTGGCTGTGGACAGCTGGCAGTACGGCCAGCCAATGGTGTTCACCCCCCTGAACCTTCTCCGCTTCAACGTGCATCTCAAGGGCTCCAGTCTGTACGGCAGCAACCCCTGGCACTGGTACTGGTCGCAGGTAGGAGTGTGGGTGTGTGTGTGCGCATCTGGGCTGGGCAGTATTGATACTGGTCGCAGGCAGGAGTGTGCGTGTATTTGGGCAGGAGTGGTACTGGTCGCAGGTAGGGGAGTGTGTGTATGCATGTGTGTAAGAGACGAGCGCATGGGCAGACCCGCAGTGGCCGAATAGCCATGCATAACACACCTTCTTTCCTTCCCTCCCCTCGCATGCTTTCAACCTGGGGATTCTCATATCCTGTTGCACCCCTGCGCCTCTTTGCTCACGTCTGCTACCCTCCTAGCCCCTGTCTATCCCATCCTTCTCCCCAGACACTCCTCACAGCCATGCAAGGCACACTCTCATCCCTCCCCCTCACGTGTGTTCATCCTCGCTCTTTCTCTGGATCCTTATAGAACCCTTTTACACCCTTCTGCTCCCCTCCTCATCCCCTCCTTTCTCTTTCCCCGACCCTCCTCATCCCCCACCCTCCTCATCCCCCATCATGGCAATGAACGGCATCTACTCCGCACTCACATGCATTTCAACCTTGTCATTATTTTCTCACCTGGATCTCTCTATACCCATTTACACCCTTCTGCACCCCGCCTCATCTCCCAGGGCCTCATAGCCATGCACGGCACTTTCTTCCCCCTCGCCTGCCTCGGCCTCCTCTGGTGCTCCTTCTTCCACCCTTCCGCGCCCTCTGACTCCCCACCTCGTTATACGCATCTTCACCATCTTCACCATCTGCTTCAGCACCTGCAGCAGGGTCTGGTGTGGTGGTCGGTGCGCCTGCCCTTCCTGCTGGCCCTCTGGCTGCCTCTCTTCTACTCCCTCTCGGATCACAAGGAGCACCGGTGAGTGAGTGTGTGATTGAGTGAGTGAGTAGGAGTGGTAGGAGGACCACTGGTGTGTATGAGTGGGAGTAGTGAAGAAACGAGGATTGGCAAGAGTAGAGAGAAATCGGTCAACTCAGCTCTTGGCTGATCTGAGTTGTACTGAGGGGACTTGTGAATCAGTATGGACAAACACCTCTCGTGGAGATGGTAGGAAAGGGAGTTGCGGTGACTTTTGAGTCAACTCAAAAGACAAACGCCTCTCATGGAGATGCTAGGAGAGGGAGTTGCAAAGCGCTTCCGATTCCGCAATCAATTTCAAACACACAAGTGCTACTATTGCTCGTACCCTGGCTCTTTTCCTTCGTCCCCGGTGTTGTCACAACTCTTTCTCAATGTAGCAAAAACTTCTGATGTCAATCTCTATGCATACCTTGTATCCCCTCCCGGCAATCCCCTCCTGCTCCACCCCCCTTGTCACCCTCCCCACATCCCCCTTCCCCGCAGCTTCATCCTGCTCTCGCTCCCTCTCCTCAACACATACGCTGCTCTCGCCCTCTCTCTCCTGAATGAGGAGAGGGAGAGAGAGCATTCAAGACTCGCCACCACCTGTAACAACTGCAACACCAGCAACACCAAGCCTCACACACCCGGCCAATCGCCTCCGCTCCATCAAGCATCTAACTCCTTGAAACCGCCCGAACCATCTCAATTACCCAACCCGTCCCAAAGATCCACATCATCTCGTTCCGGCCCAGCAGATCAATCATGGCGCGCCTTCCTGTCCCCCTTCCTCCACCCACAATCGCCCCTGTTCCGCCTACTCCTCACAGCAGCCTTCCTCCCCCAGCTCCTGGCCGCTCTGTACCTGTCCACCAGCCACCAGCGAGGCACCATTTCTGTCATGCCCTTCTTAGAGGGAGAGATCCACGGGATTCTGCACACCCACTCAACACCATCAAGGGACGTGGGGAGGGGAGGAGGAATTGAGGGGGAGGGGGGAGGAAATGAAGGGGGGGAAGGAGTGAGGGAGGGGAGAGTGGAGGTGTTGTTTCTGATGCCTTGCCACTCCACGCCCTTCCACTCCCACCTCCACAACCCCGCAGTCACACTCACCATGCTCTCATGCGCCCCCATCCTCACATGTAAGCCTCTATTCTCCTGTCCCTTGCCTCTTGCCTCTTAGTCTCTTGCCCCAAACTTGCCTCTAGTCCCTTGTGCTGCCACTCCCCCACAGTTGTCCCTCTTCTCGTTTGCTCGACTCCCTCCCACTCCCACATTTCCAACACTGCTGCTGCACTCACTATGCTCACATGCGCCCCCATCATCTCATGTGAACCATCCTACATGCCGTGTTGGTGTTGAGAATATTCGAAGGCCCTTCTCTCGCACACCCACTGTCTCATGTAAGCCTCTTGTCCTAAGGTGACTTTTGAGTCGACTCAAAAGTCACCTCGCACACCCACTGTCTCATGTAAGCCTCTTGTCCTAAGGTGACTTTTGAGTCGACTCAAAAGTCACCTCGCACACCCACTGTCTCATGTAAGCCTCTTGTCCTAAGGTGACTTTTGAGTCGACTCAAAAGTCACCTCGCACACCCACTGTCTCATGTAAGCCTCTTGTCCTAAGGTGACTTTTGAGTCGACTCAAAAGTCACCTCGCACACCCACTGTCTCATGTAAGCCTCTTGTCCTAAGGTGACTTTTGAGTCGACTCAAAAGTCACCTCGCACACCCACTGTCTCATGTAAGCCTCTTGTCCTAAGGTGACTTTTGAGTCGACTCAAAAGTCACCTCGCACACCCACTGTCTCATGTAAGCCTCTTGTCCTACATGGCTTACTGCCTCCCACACTCGTCTATCTTTCCCAATTCCTCTCCCAAGTCTAAACTCTCTCTGCCACTTCCTCCTGACTGACTTCCTGTCTTTCCTGTCCAGCCCATCCCAATGGCCTCATCATCATGACTCGTGAAAGCGAATTCATAGACTTGCTGGCAGAACCACATGTATCCCTCACATCCCACTACACTGCTCTGCAATTTTGAGACGTCTCAAAATGCTGGCAGAACCACATGTATCCGTCACATCCCACTACACCGCTCTGCAATCCTTTCCTCTCGCCCCACCTCTTCCCCTCGTTTCGCTCCCCATCCCTCCCTCCAGCCCATCCCAACGGCACCATCACCATGTGTAGTGAAAGGGAATTTGAAGGTCTGCTTGCCATCCCACATGCCTTCCCCACATCCCTCTACACCGCATCCCCATCCCCATTCTCATCCCCTCTCTCCAGCCCATCCCAACGGCACCATCACCATGTTTCGTGAAAGGGAGTTTCAAGGTTTGCATGTCTGGTGTAAGGGAGTTTCAAGGTCTGCTTGCCATCCCACACGCCTTCCTCCCTCTACACCACATCCCCATCCCCATTCCCCTCCCCTCCCTCTACACCACATCCCCATCCCCATTCCCCTCCCCTCCCTCTACACCACATCCCCATCCCCATTCCCCTCCCATCCCTCTAGCCCATCCCAACGGCACCATCACCATGTCCCGTGAAAGGGAGTTTGAAGATCTTCTCGCCGACCCACGTGACTTCCTCTCATCTCGCTACACCATCCATACATCTGTTCATGCATGCATCTCGGGTCTGGGCCATGGTGCTACAGCAGGCGCTGCTGCTGCTCGCCCCGCTACAGCAGCTTCTGCTGCTGCTGCTGCTGCTGCTCACAGTGCTGCAGCACCTGCTGCTGCTCACAGTGCTACAGCCGCCTCTCATTGTGTTTATGACGCTACAGCCGATTTCCACGCTGGCACCCCCGCCACGTGCAGAGGCAGCAGCAGCGGGACGGCAGAGCAGGGGGCATGCATGCACGGGGAGCATGGGCATGCGCTTGCTGATGGGCATGAGCACGAGCATGGGGGAGGAGGTGGGGAAGCAGCAGCAGATGTCCGTGCATGTGCGGGCGATTTTGAACAGATAGAGGGAAGATGTTTGGATGGGTGCTATGGGGTGGATGGAGGTGGGCGGCCGGAGCTGCCAGATCTGGTGGTTGCATTCGACACAGAGGAGCTGCTGCTGCTGCCGTTTCTCCGTTGTGCCGGGTACACTGAGGTACGTGCTTGGCTTTGGAAGGGTGCTACGGGGTGAAAGGAGGTGGGCGGCCAGAGCTGCTGGATCTGGTGGTTGCATTCGACACGGAGCAGCCGCTGCTGCTGCCGTTCCTCCGTTGTGCTGGCTACACTGAGGTACGTAACGTGCTCCTCTCATTCGCATTGCTGCTGCTGCTGCTGCTGCTGCCGTTCCTTCAGTGTGTTGGGTACACAGAGGTATGTGCTTCTCCCATGCAGATTCGGAATGACTACTGGAATGAAGCCCTTGATTTCAGTCTTCAGCAGTTGTGCGGACTCTGTACATAAGTAAATGAAATTATTATTACAATATCGTGTTGGTGGTTGTTTGCCTTGGTTTGCAGGTGGCGCGTTTCTTCCACGCACACTTCCCTGTTGACAGGGAGCTGCAAGGGCATGTACTCGCGTATAGAAAACATGTGGTGCTACAATAAGCAGTCTTGTGTCTTGTTTTTAGTACATCCCAATTTATACCCCGCAACCATTGACCCTTTCGTATCGGGGAAACATTAGTGAAGCATTGCGGGCGGCAGACAAAGGCTTAGAAAAAATACTATGCTCCCCTCCTTCCCCAGCCACCCCAGTTTGCCACCCTACCCTAGCAGTACCCCCGTCGATAATCTCAACGCTGATGCGTCCACTCGCACCGCCATTTCCCAACCGCCAGCGATTAGGGACGCCTGAAGGCCTTCTCAGGCTGATGTTAAGATGACCGCACCAACACCTGTCCGACGATCCTATTCGTTCGCACATCCCCTCGATGGATGCGTCGCGTCGCGTTGTCCGAAATCAAACAAACTTCCCGCCTCTAACCAGGGGATGCTGGGGGGTGCCGTTCAGTTGATCACATTCAGTACACTTTTGTCGAACCTAACAAATGTCAACTGTTTGGCTGTGATCTTGTTGAGTAATGCTTCTGCAGCCGCTGAATGGTTGACATTATGTCGAGTTCTGCACCATTCTGCACCACTCTCTTTCACAAGCGAACCGAAGACACGGGGAACCCAAGATTCCTGTCTCCGCTGGCGCCAGGGCCTCTCTCCGCGCCCCCCGGGCCTCGCGCACGTTTGCCTCGCGGGAGGGACTCGTTAATGTGTCCCCCGTCACCGACGCCGGCCGGCGAACGAGTACGACACGACAAAGGAGCGAGAAAGCGTCGGGCCATCGAGTATCAGAACCAGCAATTTCTTAGCAAGAATCACGCCAGAGCACTGCTCTAGTGGCTCTGGCACTACGCAACCTCAGCCGTGTTCAGCAACTCGATTTGACGACGACGGCTCCTCTCCCACGCGCGACCATGACTTGGCTGTCCCTGATCGCGCTGCTGCTGATCCTGGCAGGTACGAAGCCAGATCTCGTGCTGCTGCCACCACGTAAGTCTGTATGGTACATGTATGTACCAGCTTGAGGTCACCTATTTCTAAAATGTATGGTACACGTATGTACCAGCTTGATATCTCGTTATTTTTTAACGTCTGGTTGCAATTACCGTCGAGTCCCGCGTAGCTGGGCTGAATAAGACGCGACATCGCGGCTTCAAGCTTGCCAAGCGGCTGCTTTTGAGTCGATTAAAGTGTTTCTTATAACCTGAAACCCGAAACCCCGATCCACTTGACCTGGCACTCGGATGTCTCTGCTGTGTGCCGTGGCTTGAAATTTCTACTTGTTCTTGATATACTGTGCGGTGCTTTTCTGTGCTGTGCTGTGCTGTGATGTGCTGTGCTGCTCCACGTGGTAAAACTGCGCAACCTTTTGTTGTGTGTGGCTGTACTGTCACCCACTACCGTCGACCACTACTGTCACCCACTACCATCACCCACTACTGTCACCCACTACCGTCACCCACTACTGTCACCCACTACTGTCACCCACTACTGTCACCCACTACTGTCACCCACTACTGTCACCCACTATTGTCACCCACTACTGTCACCCACTACTGTCCCCCACTACTGTCACCCATTACTGTCACCCACTACTGTCACCCACTACTGTCACCCACTACTGTCACCCACTACTGTCACCCACTACTGTCACCCACTACTGTTTTTCCATCACTGTGCAGGCTGCTCATTGGACCTTCTGGGCACCCGCCCTTCAGTCGTGGTAAGTCCGCTGCCGCAAAACCCTTATGCCTCCTTCCCAGGTTCCTCCTTTATTTTACGCTTCCGCTGCCCTCTCAAGGACCCTTCTCCTTCCGTATCTCCTCATTTCCTCGTTGGTGCATTACGCGCACCTACTGCAAACTTTGCTATTTGTCGCAGTTACACGCGTGTATTGAACACATACAGTTACATTCAGTCACATGCTGCATGCCGCCACAGTAGTGGCTGGTGCTAGTGCTGCTCTGAACTCGCGAAGTACCTGGGAAGGTCGCATCCTTCCCACAATGAGTTCCAGGAGCTGCAGGAGGTGTTCTGCAAGACTAACCTTGAACTGCAGGGAATTCACTCAGTTCGTTGGCTGAGCCGCGGCGATGCCATCACGCGCTTGGTGCGTGTTCTCCCTGCCGTCATCGTGCTCCTGTGGGAGTGGGACGACGAGTGGTACCACATTGTGACTTCAGTGAAGTTCAATGTGTACCTTTACTACCTCGCCGACATGCTCAACCTCCTCAACACCCTCAACCTTGAGTTTCAGAGGCGGGAGGTGAGTACCCTACTGTAAGCCCGAGACCCTAGTCTGTGCTGGTTGGACGGTCCTTGTTAAATCTGCACCTTGTCATGTGGCAGGTCGACATGACATCGGTGCAGTCGACCGTGCGCCGCACACTGATAACCATCCGAACGCGCTACATCGAGTGCGGCGATGACTTTGGTGGCGGCCCACAGCTACACCTCGGGGCCTTCCTAGCCAGGCTTAGTAAGTCTCCGAAAGTCACTGTGGCAGGCGTGGACAAGGAGGGGGAGAAGCGGGAACATAGTTTTGAGCTGCACGAGGAGGAATTGACGGGCTACAGCAAGACAGCTGACGACTTGCAGACGTGCCTTGACGTCTGCCGCCGCCACGCCAATTCGACGCTCACCCACCTCCAAAAGAGGCTGGGGGATCTCGACAGCCTGAACGGTGTCCGGCTGTTTATGCCAGACACGTACCCCGAAGACAAGGAGGCACACGCTGAGGAGTGCCGCGAGCACTTGGAGACCCTAGTCGCCCTGTTCCATGCCCGCGAGCGATCAGACATTCTCCCAGGTAAGCATTTGTGTTCTGCT